ATTGTGTGTGATTTGAAATTAGAAGACAAGCGACTATTGAAGTAAGCTGGGGGAGGGCCAAGAATTGAGGGATTGAAAATTGGGGGGATATAAGTAAAGTTGGAGCGGGACAATAAGGATGTAGAAGCACAAGAAGGGGTATAAGAAGACGGGAAGGCCTGAGCAGTAGCATCCAAACCCCCATCCACCCTGCTCGATGCAGCAGATAGGGCGCCGTTTATTATCCTCTGCGACGGCCAGAGCATCAAGAAATTGTTGTAGGAAAGGTTCATTGTATTGCGTGGGCAGAATACTGTCAGGTTGCCCAGGCCTAGACAGGAGAACGATTAGGGTTCTCAACCAAAGCCTTTGGTTCAAAAACCTTACCGCAAGGCAGCGGGTTTTGGCATTGGACTACAGAGCCCGTTTTATGAGATGAGGAGCCACCCCCATTCCAACCCCCAACCTGGAGGACCAGGAGGCTGAGTTTGTCTGGCCTCTAACCATTGACCAATCTGGTATGAGTGGCTCTAAAGGTGCAAAAAAAGCACCACCCAGCATAGCTCAATGGATCTCTGAGACACGCAAACCATCGCACCACGGTAAGGTCCAGCCTCATTGCGTCTACCTCAGCCTGAGGCACAATGGGGCTGTTGTGTTTCCGCTGATAGTTCGGATAACCAATGCACCCACTCTGGTCACAATACAGCCACCTTCCAAATCAAAAGACAAAGGCCACTGGCGGAACTTGTATGGAGCACTCGGGAGACAGAATGTACAGGCATACGTGGTCAAGAAAAATAGTTCATGAGAGAAAGAGCTAAGTGAAAGTTCCTGACGATCGCAACTACTAGATGCGCAAAAACTCGCTTATTAGCTGATGAAGTAGTGTGATTACTGGAGGGCTTCAAGGAAGGCCATTCTAATTGGTCCACTTCAAGGCAAAACAATACCATTGGCTTACTCTCATTGGCTAGCTAATTGGCTACAGGCGGCATACAACGAATCTTCTCCGGGCTGCTCCAGACAGAGAGCTAGCTTCGATGGCTGCTATGGACGGGCCCTTGGCAAGACCACCCTCGCAAAATGTGACGTACGACTTTCTCCTGGGGTCCAGTTACATTCCGACCATGGGCCTCTGTATCCGATCAGTCCATCGTCGTGGCTGCAAGCTCGTTCCTTTTGTGGTCACAGGGCAAGGCTCATTAGGTGGTTCCTGCGTTCCAGGGTGTATGTCGAAATTGTCCAGCAGAATATTCAGTGGCAGCGACCGTTCACTAGTAGCTATCCGCATGCTGGTAGGCCGCAGCTGGTTTGCGTGTCTGATCCAAATCACAGAACCAACTCGCACTTGTTCAAGTCTGCAGTCGATCGAGCCTGTGGTCCAGTATGGTTTTCCAGGGCGATAGTCACTGACTAAAACACTTTGTCCTGTGTGAAATAGACGTACTTGCTTCCTGTGCCGCTGATTAAAGTAATTTTCCATTCACACGTTTCTCTCTTGCGGAGCGATACGCTTTGAAAGCAGCAAGGAATTCAGAGTACGGAGTTTCCTGCCCATGAGCGCTTCTGCTGGGGACAGCTGATTTGGCACCTGGGAGTTCGGAGTTGATCTGTACAGTAGAAGGAAAATATCCAATATCACTTGGGTAGTTCCTTCCCCCATCATCTTCAGCAACCTCGTTTAAAGGTTTCAACAAAGCGCTCAGCTTGCCCATTGGATTGTGGGTGGAACGGCGGTGAGCGTAGGTGTGTGATACCGTACTGCGTACAATATTCGGCGAACTGCAAACATGTAAACTGAGGGCCATTGTCAGTAACCAGGGTCTCTGGTATTCCAAGTTGGGTGAAAAGTCTTCTCAGTATGCCAATGATTGCGCCACTTGTTATCCGTTCCATGCAGAACACTTCCGGTCATTTACTGGAGGTATCAACAACGATGAGATACTGTTGTCAACTCTTGGAACCAAAGAAATCCGCGTGTACTCGCTGCCACGGTTTCGTTGACAAGGGCCAAGAAGACAATTCCGCATACCTCGGCGCCTTGCTTACAACCGCACACTTCGGACATGATTTCGCTAGGTGTTCCAGCTCCGAGTCGATATTCGGCCAGTAAACGTAACTCCGCGCAATCATTTCCATTCTGTTGATGTCAGGGTGTCCACGATGAAACTGTCGTAGAATTCTTTGGTGAGGCTCACCAGGGATAACAACTCTTTCCGCTAAAAGTAAACAACCGTTGACGATGGATAATTCGTCTTTTCTCCGGAAGATGCTCTGCAATTCCCTATTTAGATTTTCTTCCGGCCACTGTGTAGTATGGAATCTGACCGGTTGTTGTAGGACAGGATCTCGCATTGATGCATCACGTATCATCTAAAAAGTTACTGGAAGTTCTCTGAGCGTTTCCAACAACACTTGATTCAATTCCGACTCCAGAGAGATCGCTGCAATGACAGATTCTTCTGGCTTGCGCTGCTGGCTTTCCTATAACCGGGAAAGTGCATCAATCTGACCAATGTTTTTTGTAGAAATGTGCTTCACCGTAAAGTCATAGCCGAGTAATGTAGTAGCTCACCGCTGCAACCTGTTTGCCGTGTAGACAGGGATGCCTGACTTTGATCCGAAAACTGCTACCAACGGCTTAGGGTCAGTAAGAAGTGTAAACTTCCTTCCATACAGTATTTTGTGAAATTTATTTACAGCGTAGACTATCGTCAAGGCTTCTTTCTCTGTGTGACCATACGTTCGCTCTGCGGCAGACAGTGACCGGGCTGAATGTGCGATTGCCTTTTCTGAACCATCTGCGAACCTATGGGCTATGACTGCGCCAATGCCATAGTTCGAGACGACTGCCGCTACCACAATTTCCAAAGTTGGATCGTAATGTGTTATCAGAAGGTCGGAATATAGTAGCCTTTTACCTCGTCAAATGAGCTCTGGCATTGTTCGGACCAGTTCCAGTGTTCACTCTTGGGCAGCAGGTCATTGAGTGGATCACGCAAGCGATGCATGTGCGGTAGGGACAGACTGCAATGGCTTATGAGTCCTAGGAAGGGCCATAGCGTTGCAACATCTTTGGGCGGCGGCATCCTCTTGCTTGTCTCGATGTTCGCTGGGTCTGGACGCCTGCCGTTTCTGTCGATTATAAAGCCGAGAAACGTAATCGAGTCCATGAGGAAAGTACACTTCTCAGGCCGGAGTCTGACTCCATATTCTTTAACACGGCCAAGAATGCGATCCAACCTTTCGAATAGGTCATCAGTACTGCCTTCGACAACAATGATGTCGTCCAGGTATGCGGCTGCTCCATCGACATCTGTCAACATTGTGTCCATGATCTGCTGGAATATAGCTGGTGCAGACTTGACTCCAAACGGGAGACGGTGATACTGGTACAAACCTCGATGCACATTGATAGTGACTAATTCTCGTGAAGCTCCATGTACTTCGATCTGCAGGTATGCATCAGAGAGATCCAGCTTTGCGAAACATTTACCACCATTCAATTTTGCGAACAAATCACCTGGGAGCGGTAAATGGTACTGATGGTCGTTCATTGTAGCATTCAAACCCGTCGAGAAATCGGCGCATATTCGAATCTGACCGTTTGGCTTTTTGACGATCACAATGGGTGCCGCTCAAGACGAGTAGTTCACCGGGTGGATAACATTTGCTCTCTCTAAGCGGTCCAGCTCCAGGGCAATCATTGATATTGCCGCGCAAGGTACAGGGAGTCGCGTACGAAACACTGGAACAGCATCGGGCTCAAGCGATACTGAAGCTTGTATTTTAGTGCACTTACCGAGGTCTTCCCGAAAAACTGCTCCATATTTCTCCCGTAGGCGCTCGATAACTACAGTTTTAGGAGCTGCTGTGTACCTGGACACTTGCACAAATCTGGTTGATCGGAACATCAAGTAGGTTGAAACGCTCGATCAAGTCCAGACCCAGAAGATTCAAATTTTGGTGGCTCGTGACAAAAATCGTTCCCCATGCGATAACATCGGCATAACGACACTCAAAATCGATTTGTCCAATCAATTGCAACTCGGCACCTGATGCACTTTTTGCCGACTGACTGGTAGGTTTGATTTCTGGTGACCCGACAGTTCTTCACAACCTTTCAACTATGATCGTAATATCTGAGGCCGTACCGAGCTGCAAACGCGCCTGCCTTCCATTAATGTTGATGTTAATGTACTTTCTACGATTTCTGACATCGTCAGTAAAATTGGCGTTCACTCTCCTCGCGAAACCACCGTAGGTTTTCTTTCGTGCATCATGAACCGGTTTGAAAAATGGCTTGGATCTGCAATGAGTTTCTCTGTGCCCAGGTCTAGGATATTTCTGACAGATATGCTTGTTGAATGGACACCATCTAACAAAATGCCAGTGGAAGCATTGCGAACATGCTGATCGTGGCTTACCTTGGGGGGTCTTCTTGTGATTAGTGAAGGGAAACTTGTTCCTCGAAATCAGCTGAACTGCGAAATTACTGGAATGCGCCTTCGTATCCTCGACCATAGCTGTATCGTGTTTTAAATTGATGATTCTCTGGGCCTCTGCAATGACAGCTTGCAGTGTGACGTCCGGGTCTCACTCCAACAACCCAAGTATTCTGGTTCTGATCTCGGCATCTTTCGGAGATTGGAGGTGCATACCAGTATCAGACACTCATATTGCTCTGCAGTAAGTGATTTCAGCTTGAATTTCTGGCACTCTCGCGTCACTGTTGCTGCATAGGCAATGAGACTGTCGCTGTCGCTCTTGCATAGCTACAGGCAATTGTGCCGGTTATTGAAAAGCGATGCTTAATAGCCGAACATATCTGTAACTCGGGAAATAATTTCATCAAAGCTGAAATGTTGAGCACTTGAGCAATATAAATATATAAATACATATGTGTGGTAAGAGTGTCAGTCAGTTGCACGTAACAGTGGAGCGGATGATGAAGGTAAGAGAGAGAGTGACCATAAATACAAGAAACAAAGGGTAATGTGTCATTAAGTCGAGCTCACCTGAGGAAGCCGATCCACCGAGGGCTCGGTCAGACCCTGCTTAAGCTCCGCGAAAAGCTCGGCAGTACAATAAGGGGTGACACTCCACACGAAACGTAAATTCGGAAAGTGAATGGTCAGTAAAGTGAGTTTGGAGAGCAGATGTCGAGCATTGAATTCACCCCCAGACACAATACTGTGGCGGCCAGTGTACAGAGAGAATCCGGTGGTGTGGTTCAGCCCACGAGCAGGAGTGCCGTCAATGACTACAAGAAGCAAAAACGAGAACATCAAACACGTGGTACACACAAGACAAGAGGCAAGGGAAACTTACAAATCTGTGTGCTGTACGTAGATTCGTGGTACGTTGGGTTGTAAGAAGCCAGAAGATGTGCAGTTACTTGCTGTGGTAACGAGCACTCATGATCTGTAGTGTGACTGACAGGCAACGAATCCTGGAGGTACCTTGGCGCGCCTTTGTTTGAAGTCTTGTCTAGCGCGGTGTGAGATTGTTCAAGTACATGTCACAGGTGTACTATAATTTCGGAACAGTGTCAGCTGAAATCTGTTAGCCAAAGGTGGACCAATGAAACCGCTTGATCCTCGGAACCAACCGACGAGTGTATGACATGAAGCGCCAACAAATGAACCCAAATGATGGGCTGAATCCATTTTTAGTGTCAAGGAAACCTTCGGTGAGATCGTACAACTAGCAATACAATCAGAGCTATTTTACTGCAACGTAAGGTTGTAACTATGGTCGTTATAAGTAACTAGATGTTGAAATCCTAGCCTCACGATTTGATGGCTTGACTGGGTTGGAATCCGTAACAACCGTGACGCGTCACCGGCATTGTCAGCATGAACATTGAAGCATAGTATCTTGCAGCTGATAAGGTAAGCTGATGGAAGCAATGAAGTGGGGGTGAAAAAATTATCTACATTGGGCATTGTGCTGAAGCCAGCATACGCACAATAAGTGTAGCGGTTGAGTAGGAGATGATGCAAGACAACACATCATAGACTGATAATTAGATGGACGGCTTCGAGAATTGAGCATGTGCATCTAGGCTTCCGCATAACTGAAGACCTAGTGGATCTCATTTTATGAAATATGAAGAAACCATCGAAATGCGGCACATCCAGCTGCCTTAGCGCACTTCTCAATGAGGATATGAATCGACGGAGAAGACTGAAACGAAAAGCACACAACCCACCTAGCGTATTAGCCACTCCGTAGCTCGCAATACATCTTACCTGATCAGGCTAAACTGATATCGAGTTTTGAAAAAGATTAGCCATTTCAGTATTTTTTTTCTTACTCGGTTACGCTTTTCTTGTTACACCCATAACATATCAGACGTCAAGCAGAAGCCAACCGATTCTGCTCATTACATTTTCATCCCAATTTCCAATAGTACTTTTTCATCTTTCCTCTTACTCGTATACGCCTAGAGTGCGCTTAAGACAAAATGCCTACCACGTTCGCCTCCCAGCGAACAAATAAATCTCCCCTTATATCCGTCTCGGTATACATGCACAGCTGCTAAACGGTAAATAAATAATTACCTCTGTCTTACACCACACATTTTTGAACGCCACAATGTATGGAAAATGTTTAGCATAAATTAGCTGCCATGTTCCATAAGTATGGGTCGCAGCTTTAACGTTTCTTTTATCACCACACCTCATCTATCACTTAAGAAAGCTAAAACTTGGTTCCGTCCGTACACGCATCTCTGCGTCAGGATGTCATGTCCATTCGGAGCTCTGAAGTAGACAAGCATAGATGTTAAAGTCACGATTTCTATTTTTGCCTAACATTTAGAATGTTGTAAATGTAATATGAAACGATGGTAAAAGTTGATCATACCGAAAAGGGTGTCTTATAAACCCGAGAACATACACTATTATTGTTAAGATTATTATTATTATTATTCTTATTGTTGTTGTTAATCGGCTACTGATACCGAAAACTCAGAAGCGCACAATCGAAGCTTTCGAGCGTGTAACCTTGTCGTAATTCAGTTAAACAAAGTAGAGGATTTCTGTTACTCACAGACGACCTGTTTTAGATACTTCTTTTCGCATCTACTGTAGTTTTTCATCCGGGACTGGGCTCTTATGCCTAAATTTGGTTGATGACTTCAATAACGTATTCTATATCATGAGGCCATCGCAGTCATCGTCTCTGAGTTATACCGTAATGGAATATGTGAAAAGGTCCTTGAATTGGCGGAAAATGACAATGAAAGATGTACAGGAAGGCTGTTATCAAAACAAGCCAACAGTATCTCTTTATAAACCCCAGCTGGCTACAGTTCTGCATATGTGAACTTGTTGTGTACACAAAGAGGACCCTTTGTGTGTACGGTTTAGCGGTATCATGAGGAACATACTATTACTTTTCCATTTTATATAAGGAGCGGAAACTTCAGCCAGAAAGTGCTGAAAGCGTGTAGAATTGTCGTATGGATGAACTAACTGAAGTTTCACCAATGGTAACCAGCTAGACGATACGGAGATCAAAGAATGAAAAGTAATTAACGTGCACATGCACAGAATCAAAAGGACCTACTTTTAGTCGGCATAGAGAATTCGACCAACAGAACAGGATTGGGATAGTGTCTGGACATGGCGGTACATTGCTGATACAATCGACCGGAGTTTAGGGACCCGATGAGATCGCTGACCGATTTGCGTTCAACACACAAATGAGGCGCCAAGATGTAATCCGCTATGCTCAGAGTCATTGGGACAACCTGCGAACGAAAGAGAAGCGGAGAAAGTCATAGTCGAATAAAGAAATTCCGATTTGTGAAAGAAAACATGTGATTCGGGAAGAACTGTGGTTGGAAAAACGAGCAGGCAATCAGAGTAACGTGTTCAAGTGAGTCGGTGTCAGGTGGGAGGAGGGCAACACCACTGAGCGCGAGTTCGATGCAACAGGTCAACTCAAGTATGCACAGGTGCGACAACGTAATGAGCTGCGGTTTGGAGTACCTGATGGGCAAAGACTGTCTCAGAAGAAAAGCTCGGTCATTCTGAGCATTGGGACCGTGACAGTAACGGTGGCATGTTCAGTGTGCTGGCTCCCAACCCTGGATTTCATGAACGGTTCGGCCCTAATTTGGGTGTCTTAGAAACCGAAAGTCGAGGTTGGAAAATTGTGGTGTCATATAAGTAGACCATCAAGCTACGTGAGCAGCGGTTGTCACAGCGATTAGGGATCCATACTTGGGTACTGAAGCTAGGACAAGTGCAAACAACGGTATTCTATTGTGCATAAAGCGGTTATTTGTTAGCCGTGAAGACAAATTCCAAGAAGCTGATGGTGCTTAAATACCAAAGACAGCCGTTAGAAGTAAAAAGAGCTGCAACCTCCATACCGGTATGCTATCAGGTAAACTGAGACGCATTTGAAAGAGTTTAAATGCAGCGAAAGCAGAGTGGGGTCAGTATAACAGCCAGATGAGAGTGAATATTTGTCTTACCTGCAAACCTTTACGGTGAAGCAGAGCGGGTAGTTCACTGCGAAATTCGCGCATATCCACTATCACTCTGGGATTAGTGGACTGAGCTGAAGAATCGCTGGTAAAAACTGGGGGCAAAGAGAAAGCATCCTTGGGAATCACAATTCGGCTGCTCAGCTTGATGAGCGACTCAAAAGCTTCCTTCTCCTGCATAATAAAGCAAAGATGGGGTTACGGGTAACGACCGTTGAGGAAGCTAATCGAAGCGACCCAAAAAACTCGTGTAAACGCGCAAATGAGTGCATAGGGCATGTAAGAAAAAGCGGGGACGGCAACGGTTTCTAGGAGAAAGCCAGAGAAATGTAGGCAAACCCAAGCGACGGGTAAAGTGTTTAAGAGGAAAAACAATGATTGCCTGACTGGTTTTCAGAAAATAGATAGAAGACTGAAGGTGGCGAAGAGAGCATTATAACTTCCGGAACAAGTATGCTGGAATATGGACAGCAACTCTAGATTCACTAGAGGGTGATGGTAGGATAAGAGGGCACAGTTTGTGTCAGATTCACCTGGCACAAACGACACCAGATCACCTCCGCGTCCGATACACAAGAGGTAGCGGGAGAGAGTGCACACCGGAATTGTTGCTCTAGAACTGCAATAGAAACTAAGGCAAACTAATACGAAAGTCGGCTTATTTGGATCAGATGCAAACGCTGCGACCAGCACGGCATGATATGATGCTAAATTGCATTTTGCATTCCACGAAAGCTATGCTAAGAGACCCAGAGCTAAAGGATCCATATACTTTGCCAAGGGGGAAAAGGCATTAGCAGTACGCCGGTATCGACGCTTCGCTACCGCGCAACCACAACCAGTTGCACGAGGGCTAAGGATAATGCGAGGGTCGCCTTGTCCATACGAAGGCTCGAACCCGCGCCGTCAGATTACAGGGCAAGGGTGTTGCTTTTAGGCTACGGTCCGGCGCCAAAGAAGAGCATTTTCGGAGAATGTCGGCGATACATTAAACGTAATGGAAGTAATTTGCTGATCCCACAACAGAATGTGGTGAGATACCAGGCAGATACAGACCAGACTCATGACATCGCGTGACATCCAACCGTCGAATGAATGGCAAACAAAAGCAGAAAACGCGGGTAGGTCAGTACGAACGGACAGAGGCAAACTACAGGTGAGATATGTTATGAGACTAATTTCGCGCCTTCAGCCAGCTTCCACTATTAGGGAAGCATGACTTGCTGTTGAAGCTTAATAAGGTGTACCCGGCGCGCCTCGGTAGTGAGTGAAAGCACTTCCGAATGAGAAATAGCAACAGTAAGAAATCATACAAACGTACCCTTCGTAGTTGTGTTAGATAACGTTGCTCTTCGATAGAATCCTCGTACAGCATGAAGAAAACGCTCAGAGGACGGGTTTGTTTTGGCCCAGCCGCCTGCTCCGCTTGGGTTGTGATGTGGCGTCTTGCTTTATGTACTTCCAACTCACGCACCCACGCGACCCGGGGTTCGTACAGTAGCACATAACGCGGCTGGATGGAATCCAAAACATAAGCCAAACGGTGAGAGAACACTTCGAGAAAGTCGCTCCTCTGGCTTATTGAGGCGCTGCTATCTTCGCGTGAGATATTTGGTGCAACTCTGAGGATAACTTCCAATCGTTTCGTAGAGTCCTGAGAGCCTCTGGCCGTCAACAAACGCGAAGAAACAAGTACCCTTCGGCAACCGATGGGTAGTTTTGGCTGTTCCTTCTCGGCATTTCCCTCGACAGGTGGTTCAGTTGGAGCGCAATCTGATTCTTGGCTGTCAGTTCCACTGTCGGAATCAACTTCCTTTTGTGGTTCACTTTCGTCCACACTAGTAGACTGCTTACAAATTTGGGTAAGAGTTAGCTCTTGATGCTTCAAAGAGGAACCTTTAGATTTATCCGACGTGGATGCCTAGAACGCGATAGCGAAATAAAGAGTAAAACATTATACGGAACGTGTCGTTGTATCCAAACATTTGGTCTAGCCGCGCTCCTGTGTAAATGATATAGGCTGTTGGGAAGAGCGACGTAAATACTACAGAAGATTCAACTGATTGGCTATGACCAAAGTGTCCAATTGCCTCAAGCAGTGCCACCTGCGTAACAGAGAAAAATAAGACAGAAACCAAAGAAAAAAAGCTGCTGATCATGTAAAATGTCAAAAAAGCCAACGACGATGCGGGGGGACCAACGGATGGAAGCTATCGACGAGCCTAAAGCGTGAGAAATATGAAAACAAAGATGAGGAGACAGAAAGAGATCATACCCACTTTTGCTTTTGGGGTTGCGGGATGGTGGTTCGTCTGTGATAAAAGCCACTTTGAGAACCGATGGCCACGAAGCAGAAAACGCTCTAGGGTCCTGGCGGTGTTTTCACGACCAAGCAATATTAACACCTCGCCCTTATCTGCTTCAGTGGCCGCAAGAGAATTCATTGTGCGATCAATCTCAGAGAGAATACTGGCGACGGAATTCCATTTCGGGTTCAGTTCAATACGTACAGCCTCTAGGAAGCACAGAAGAGATGAAGGACAAGTGAAACAATCAGCGCTGGGTAGAAAGACGCTGGGGAAAACACTGATGAACAGCAATGATGGCTGTTGGATACTAAACAAGCCAAAGAAAAATTAACTGTGGCGAAGCACGTTGTAAAATGGACGAGAAACATATAGGAAAGACGGCGGAAGACGGCGCGGAAGAAATAGGGTTTGAATGAGAAATATCAGTCAGTCAAACAAAGTGCAAGTCTGCAATGTGCAGTAGCGTAAGCAGGTGACCAGCAACGAAGCCTGTTAGATCAAATTAGTTTATTTCTAGACGGTGCGAGACAGTCCAGGTGGTTAGTCCAATCAAACTGTACAAAGGGATCACAAAGAGAACTGAATGTGCAAGTAAATACGCAGAAGCTCGATTTGAAGAGACACCTCATTTGGTGTGATCAGTTGGTTATGAGAAATGGCAATGCATGGACCACATGTTGACCGTTAGAGCGCAAAAAGATGGTAAAGTGGCAATTTTAGGTATGTAGGTGATATGACCTAAATAATCGTGCGGGTATGTTCGTTTCCAAGTCAAAATTGATGTATGAGAATACTGACGTGAAAAGCTGCTAAGGCAATTGGCCAGTAGCGCAAAAAAAACGAAGGGGAAAAAAATGGAAAAGGAGAGTTTAGTTTCCGTAGACGCACTGATGCAGGGGTAAGGCTGAAACTGGATGGTACAAATGATTCGGAACTTGATTCGTGGTAATAGTTGTTTTCGGTGGCCTACATAACTGACAAATTGAGGCCCACTCGTAGGGGCCCATCATCATCATTCCATCAAGTTACGCGATGGTGAGAAACACCTCAGCCAATGTACCGCAGTACGAAAAGGTAAGAGATTAAACATTGCAACCATGTTAAATCATATTATGCATTAGATTCAGATTGTTGTTGGAGAGGAAAGCTTAAGGGCAGAGGAGGGACGAAGAAACTCAGAACACAAAAGCCATTGAGGTCAGCTCTTAGCTATGTCGACTAGTTTATCCAACCAAACGTGTACAACATCCTTCGGAACCCAGTCCGGAGACACCAACCGACTCCAAGTTCCAAGTGAGGGCCTTCATTTCTTTAGACCAAGTGTTCGCTTGGTCTCACCTCATCTTCCATTCAGACCCCGGTCGTGCAAACTAAGCTTGCGGGGGGAGCCGGTGCGCTGGCATGCGCAACACGGGGCCCAGCACAATCGGAGCTTAATGCGCGATTTAAGGTTGCTAAGTGATTCCCTTGCTCTGCTTTCAACTCGGCAAATTAGGTGAAGAAATTGATATTTTGCGTGGTTGTTTACGCCACTGGGTTGTGCGTGACGGTGCCGGTGCAAAGAGCATGAAGCCGAATTGCCAAGTCAGGTAGATAAATCAGCAACACAACAGACAACCTGAGCCACTAATGTTTTAAGTTTCTGCAAATATAAATAGGCGAGCAAAGTTCACCGCTGAGAGAAGTCCACAGGAGAATTAGCCCCACATGATAACGCTCATCATTCCATCGTCAATGTTGGCGAACTGACAATTCCCTTCACGAGTTTAATCAGGAACAGAGGTTAAAGCATGCACATGTGCGAACTGCGGAGGACATTCTGAGAATTGCACGCAGCTGAGGTAGAGAATTCTTACGAGCAATTTGAACAGCGAGGGACGCAAGAAAATGCTTGATAGCCAGCGAGGCCATTGTCAGCTTGCTTGCTGACTGACAATAGCCGTTGTAATGATTATTATAGGTTATAACGAGAAGACGTAAAAGCTTTTGAGAGACACGACGCACTGCCACAGCGAAAAAAATAAGCAAAATAATACAGTGAAAATGACACAGTAGCTGAATCAAATCACGAGAGGATAAAGTGACAGAACGAAGGTCTGTAACTCGAATATGGTACAACTTTAAAAAATCCTTCACCCATACAAAGGTGGAGAACGACTGCGACTAGTTGCGTTACGTTCACGCATATTCAACCCCAATTTGGGTAGGGAATCAGAAAAAAGTTTATAAACGACTTCATAAATAATGTACAGTAACATCTAGAGAAACCCAAAGACATGATAATAGACCATAAGAAAATAAGCCTGTCCTTTGACGTTACCGTCTTGTTTCACTCTGTAAGCCTACGCCTGTGGAAAGAGGCCATCAAGGAACACCAGGAATGCATCAGAAAATAGTCGAAAAAGTGATGACTGAGCATACATTTATTCTCCTCGAATTAGGCCTCAAGACCCATTCCATCATGAGTGAAGTGATCTAGGAGCAAGTGACGACAATCCAAATGGGATCTGTTGTATCGGGACTCATGGTGGTAATCGACTCATCATCATCATCATCATCATCAACAGCAGTACATCAGCCATTTGAACTGATGCTTCGCTGCCATACAACCATGAGGACCTATGAAATAAAGAATAAGAAGAGGGAGAGAAGGGGGACTTACCTGAAAACCTTAATTCCCTAAGCAAACATTCAGGGTCAAGGCGCCTACACCTTGTGTAGACAACATTCCGTCACAAACAGCTGGCTATCGTGCAAAGATAAGGCGGCATCGGCGAGACAGCTTCCTTGCGGCTTTCACTGCCACGCGTCATAATCAGCCATTACCCCGCAGATAACTCAACACCAAACACACTTTAAACAGGCAACCCGATTAAGAGACGGCAGCAGACGCGCCACTGGTGTCTACTGCGAGCCATGTCCTGTAAAGTCTCGAGCAAAGCACAAGGCCACTCACGTGGACTTCAGCCTGGAAGGCGAGACGGACCAACGGCACCCAGTTTGGTCGTCAGTGACTTCATTTCCCGCTGCCAAGTCAACTTCTGTCCACCTCGAGCCTTGCGCAACCCTACACCTGGCAGACTAAACAAGACCCTCCTTGGTAAGCGGTGACCAGGCATGTGTTGCACGTGCCCGAGCCAACGCAACTTATTCAGTGCTATCTGTTGTTCTAGGGAGCTAGCATGATTATCACCACCTAGTACTCGCCTACGCACATCATCGTTGCGGACACGCTGGTGCCATCCGACTAGAGCAATGCTTTGCAGACTTAAAGGCGCTTTAGATCTTCAGACCGAAGAGGCGAAGGCGCACTCCTATAGAGCAGAACGGCCCTCACCGTGGCCTTGTATACATGGACTTTCAGACGAAGGGAAACTCCCTTCTGTCGCCAAAGATGCCGCAGGTTCAAGAACGTAGCTCTGGCTTTTGCAGTGAGTGAGCTGACGTGTCTCTGTGCGCCCACCGTTGCTGATGCAGCTGCCAAGATAAGTGAATTGATCAACCACCTCGAATTCCTCGATATCAAGTGTCAAGGGGTCATATATTGGCTAGTTGTCCTGCAGCAACACTTTGTACTTTGAAGGTGCGAAGTGCATACCAAGTAATGGAACCACTCTGGACAGGCAATTCAGGGTTGATTGTGCCACCGCAACATCGTCGGAAAGCAAGATGATATTGTCCGCATAATCAAGATCAACTAATGTTACATCAGGCAGCACTTCAACGCCTACATCGTGAGATTCCGCAAGGGAACACTCCATGAGAGAAATCATGACGAAAGTGAAAAAATGGGGATAGCACAATTAGAAGACGAAGTTCGGAAGATGCATGTATTTCGTCTCGTCTCGTCAGTGCCGATAACGATAACCGGTAATTTTAGGTAACAGTTTGTGGTTACAGACATACATACAAACAAACGCGAGAAAAATAGATGTCATTCACGTACAACCAGGGCAGCCTGAGGCTGACCGATAATTGCTTTTGCACACAAAACACTGGCTTAAGCTGATTAATGGCAACAGCCTCGGCAAACCGGAAAAGCCGGGAATTATTATGGCGAAGCAGGATTCTAAACGCCATGTTGACCTCAATTCGGTGACGCGATGTCACTAAGTGCCTGCTGATCGAAGATGCTGGCGACCTGCGTACACACGTAGTCTGATTTGGGCTTGCTTGCTGAATAAGCCCGCATTGAACCCATTTTGGTACATGCTCCTTTATTCGGGAAGTCAGTGTTCCATTGGTCCTGCCTATGTAACTATCCCCGCAGTTACATACGAATTGATATACGCAGTGGGAGTTATCGCCAATAGGCTGAGTTTTCTTTAGTGGAGGTAACGATAGGTTATGAGTTCGGTCGATGATTACAACTTCGGCAGCACAGAATGTGCTTTGTGTGGCGAAAATAAGACGTCTTCTGGTCCTCAAAAAAGCAATGTCACCCTTAAAGGGCAGCTCTAAGAATACCTTTTTCTTAGGCACAGTAGATACAGCAACTTTCATTTCACGGATTTCGCTGTGCATCCGGATAAATTTTCGAGGGTAGTCATTAGCAATTAATGTGTTGGTAATTAGTTCTAGTTCATCGGCTAGACAGTCAGTCGAACAAATTCGTCTGGCGCGACTAAACAGGGTCTTCACAAGCGTTCACTTGTGCCGCATTGGCGTAAAGCTGCTAAAATGCAGAAACTGACCCGACCACGTTGCTTTTCGATAGACAGACCTTTTACCAGTTCGTTCTCCCTGCGGCTGATAAGAACATCTAAATATGGAAGACAGTTCTGTTGTTCGACTTCGCAGGAAACCCTCAAATCGACATGCGAGGGGTTAAAACGCGCCACTAGCTGTGCGATCTGCATTTCAGTTGAACTGAACACCAAGATATCGTCCAGGTAAGGTTTGTAATCGGGTAACTGCGCTATTTCTTCGGATAGGCCTCGTCATACTATCAGAATGAAGAAATCCGCTAGTATGGGACCCAGTGGGCTGCCCATGGCTACCCCATCAATTTGGCGAAACGGTATGTTTCGAAAGTGGAAATCGACATTCTTTGTGCATAGAAGTAATGATCCCTTTAAGAATTCAACTGGAATCGGCAAGGGACATTCGGAACTTTCTGCCAATTCGCAGATGTAGTCAACGGTCTGGTGTAGCGGTACGTTAGTAAACAAAGATTTCACATCTAAGCAACCCACCACCTTATCGG